TCTTCACCCCAAGGGTTTTGATAAGGAACTAACCAGCTGTAGGCACTAGGGGAGCTTTTCTATTGGGCCAGGGTGCACTGGTATAACCTCCAGGATGGGTCGGGTCAGTCTGAAGTTGAACACTCCAGGAATCGAGGAGAAGATGGGATGAGTCAGTGATGTAGAGACACTCGATTCTCTAGTTTCTGCTCCCAACATGGTGGAAATGGCTGAGTCACTCCAATTATCTCTACAAGGAACAGTGGAGATTTTGACATTTGCCTCTGAGAATCACTTCAAATTAAGATCAAGCATAAAGCTCCTGGAAAGAGAAACAGAAGGCAGGGAACTGGGACACTAAGATTATGTCAAGAGTATAGAGAAAAGGTGACACTGTTCGAATTCATTGTTTTGATCCAGCAACATGTTCAGAACCTCCATTCTGGCCCAGTGAGGAATCCACAGCCTGAGCTCTCAGGTCCAGGTATCTGAATGGCTTATTTCAATGTTCTTTACACCTTCTTCACCATGTCTTAGAGCTTTATTGTTGCTGTTGTGTGTTTGGGTTTTGTTGTTATTGTTGTTTTAATTTTTTATTAGTACATGTTTGCATTACACAATGACTACATTCATCATGGGGAATTGGTACATGTACATAACACATGTCAATTTCTTTTTTATCCCCGTCTTCCCTCCCCGCTTCTCTCTTCCTTGTTCCCCTTCCCATTTGAACATTTTTCTCCCTACATCCCAACATTTTGGTCCTTATTTGTGCTATTGGTTTCTCATACATGAAAAACACTGCAATATTTAAACATGTGTGTCCAATTTATTTCACTTAAAAGTATGGTCTCAAGGTGCATCCATTTACCTAGAAATGTCTCAGGTTTATCCATTTCTTTATGGCAGAAATGTCAACAGATGACTGGATAAAGAAAATATGTTTTTTATACACAGTTGAGTACTACTCATATCTTAGATTTTACTGAAGGGAAAGGACAGATAATAGAGTGGACCTATTATTCTGTGATATTATTTTCCTTCCTGGGAAGGTCCAAGTCACAGACTCTTTAATGACCAGCTCTGACAACCCACAACCTCCCTACCACTTGACAGGTGAGAAGTCTGGTGGTGAATAAGGAATAGAGGTACACACAAGCTGAAGACTTCCTAGAAGTTAGCCAAAGTCTTTTTTTTCCCCAGTACTGAGAATTGAACCAGGACCAAACTACATCCTTTCCTTTCCTTTTCTTTCTTTCTTTCTTTCAAGACAGAATTTCACTGAGCCACCATATTGCCTAGGCTGGTTTCAAATTTGCAGTCCTCCTGCCTCAGCCTCCCAGAGTGCTGGGATTGTAGATATGTACTACCATACCTAGCCAATACATTCTCTTCTTTCCACATTTTTTATTAGGGCATGTTAATTATACAGATCAATGGGTCTCATTTGGGCAGATTTGTACATGCACATAGTATACTTTAATCATTCCTCCTCAATACACTCCTTGCCCTACCCTCCTCCAATTTCATATGTTAAAATGCATGATATATATAAAGTATATAGGTATAAAGGGAGAAATATATACCTTTATACCCCTTTATACCCCTTTCCCCCCCTTATTCACTTCCTCTTGTCTCCCTTCTAGTGCCATCTTTTTTTAGATTTCACATATTAGGGAGACTATGTAATATTTGTGTTTATGAGTCTAGCTTATTTCACTCAACATGATGATTTTTAGGTCCATCCAATTTTCTGCTAATGGCAAAATTTCATTCTTTTCATAGACTATATACCACATTTTCTTTATCCACTCATCTGTTCATGGGCACCCAGGTGGATTCCATATATTGGTTATTGTCTATTATGCCACAATAAACATTGTATGCAGGTATCCCAATAGTATGCTGACTTTAATTCCTTCAGCAAGGAAGGGTAGAACTGGATCAAATGGTAGCTCTATTTTTAGTTTTTTAAGGGACCTCCATAGCAGATGATACTAACTTACATTCCCACCAGCAGTGTAGAAGAGTAGTTTTTTAATCACACATCCTCACCAGCATTTCTTGTTTTTTATATCCTTGATGACAGCCACTCTGACAGGAGGGAGATAAAATCTCAATGTAGTTGTGATATTCATTTCTCTAATGGCTAAAGATGGTGAACATTTTTCATGCACTTAATGGCCATTGGTATTTCTTGTGAGAAGTGTTCATTCAATCCTTTTGCCCATTTATTGACTGAGTGATTTTGATTTTTTTTGGTGTTAAGTTTTTTTTATATATTCTGGATATTAATCTTCTGTCAGAAGAATAGCTGGCAAATTTTTTCTCCCATTCTGTAGGCTTTTTTCACTCTGTTGGTTGTTTCCCTTGCTGTGCAGAAATTCTAATTCTATGTAGTCCCATTTGCTAATTCTTGCTATTCTTTCCTGTGCTATTTAAGTCTATTCAAGAAGTCTCTGCCAGAGCTTATGGCTTCAAGTACTTCCTCTATGTTTTTTTAGTAGTTTCAAAGTTTTAGATCTTTTACCCAGGTCATCAATCCATTTTAAATGAATTAACAAATTAAAAAATTGAAATAGATCAAAATGGAATGAAACAAGAAATCAAAAATAAGAGAAACTATATGAACACATGGAGATTGAATAACTCACTTTTGAATGATCAGTGGGTCACTGAAGAAATCAGGGAGGGCATTTTAAAATTCCTACAGTCAAATGAAAGTACAACATACTAGAATCTCTGGGATACAGCAAAGATAGTTCTAAGAAGAAAGTTTATAGCTATGATTGCCTCTAACAAAAAATCACAGAGATCTAAGTAAATAGTCTAATGATACCTCTCAAAGTTCTGGAAAAACAAAAGCAAACTGAAACCAAATCTAACAGAAGGAAAAAAATAATATAAATCACTGCTGAAATTAATAAGATAGACACTAAAATAACAACTCACAGGATCAATAAAACAGAGTTGGTTTTTTGAAAGATAAACAAGATTGATAATGCCTTAGCCAAACTAATCAAAGAGAGAAAGAGCAGACCCAACATAATTAATCCAATTAATACAATTAGAGATAAAAAGGGAATGTTACAACAGATATCCCAAAATCCAGAGGATTATTGGGTATTACTTTGAACACCTAATTCTAATTAATTGGAAGTTCTGAAAGAAACAGACACATTTCTAAACACATACAACCTACCAAAACTGAACTGAGGATATAAAAAAACCTAAGCAGATCACTAACAAGCAGTGAGATTAAAGCAGCGATAAAAAGTCTTCCAACAAGAAAAGCTGAAGATCAGATGGGTTCAATACAATATTTTACCATTAAAATAGAACACCAATGCTTTTGAACTATTTCATGAATAGGAAGGAAAACAATGTTTCCAAACTCATTCTACAAAGCCAACATCATCATGATAGCCACTGGACAAAGATACAATAACAAAAAGAGAAATATGTAGACCCATATCCTTGCTGAGCATCCCTTAATAAAATACTTGCAAATGAATTCAACAACACATTAAAAAGATTACATGTGAAGATCAAGTTGCTTTCATTCCAGGGATGCAGGATGGTTCAACATACATATACCAAGAAATGTAATACACCACATAATTAGAATCAAGGATAAAAATCACATAACCATCTCAATTGATACATAAAATGCCTCTGACAGTATTCAACATCCCCGTGTAATAAAAACCCTGAAGAAATTAGGTATTGAAGAATCACTGCTCAATATAGGAAAGGCCATAGATGATAAACCCAGAGCCATCATTATTGTGACACTAGAAAATGGAAAGTCCTCCCATGTTCATGGATTAGCATATTAGCATATTATTAAAATGACCATACTACCAAAAGCTACCTACAATTCAATGCAATCTCAATCAAAACATCAATGACATTCTTCACAGAAACAGAAAACATAACCCTAAAATTTACATGAAAACACAAAAGACCTAGAATAGCCAAAGAATTCTTGAGCAGCAAAAGCAAGGCTGGAGGCATCACAATACCAATTTCAATTAAACTACAAAGCCACAGTAACAAAAGCAGCATGGTACTGACATAAAAATAGACCCAGATCAATGAAACAGAGAAGACACAAAAACAAACCATCTGAATATGGACCATGGAGCCAAAAATATACACTGGAAACAATGTATATTAACAAATGGTGCTGGGAAAACTGGATGCCACTTGTAGAAGACTGAAACTAGACCCCTATCTCTCACCTTGTGCAAAAACAAATTCAAAATGGATCAATATATTCTTCAGTGATGGGATATGCCATCATTTTAAGAATACCCAACAGGCAGGGACAAGGGGAAAAAATGAGAACCAAGGCCTGTCATGTAAAGGTACAAGATCCCAATAACGAATGTAACTGTACTGTATACCTAAAATGTACCAATAAACTCAATGAGGAAAAAAAAAGAATACCCAACAGTTTACTAATAGACCTACAGATTTCTTTAAAATCACAATAAGGCCAAGCATTCCTATTCCCTCTCCCCTCCCCTCTCCTCTCCTTTCCCCTTCCCTCTTTCCTTCCTTCTTTCCTTTCCTTCTATTCAGTGATATAAGAATTAAAGACCAAGGAAAAGGGCGATAGCTTGTTGAGACTCCAGGTGCCATGGCAATTTTAATTGACTACAACAACTAATAGCTACAATGAATACATATTAGCAAGTTAGTTAATATTGAATGAATACTTAGTATGTGCCAGGCAGAGCGCTAAAGGTTTTATGTGGGTAATTTCACTAATCTCCTTGATAGCCCTATAAAGTCAATAATCTATTAGTATTTTTTATCCCCATTCTATTGGTGGCAAAACTGATTCTCAGAGAAGTTAAGTCATTTGCCCTGATTCACTTAGCCAATAAGGAAGAGTCCAAGCTCTTTTGTTCCTCACTCTCTGAAATCTCAGTCTCTGTGACTTTGTAGAAATGTGCCAGGGACTTCATCAGGCACAGAGAGATCACTAACCCAAATTGTTTTATGTTTCAAAGGTAGCACTATTCAAAACTCAAGTGCATAGAGGCCCGGGCTAAAGACAAGGTCCCCTACCAGACTATCCTCAATACAGGGGCAACAGTGCTGAAAGGAACTTCCAGAGAGGGAGAAGATGAACTGTGGCAGCTCACAAGCAATCTGTCTTGCTCCCTTTCCTCAGATGAGTGGCTCCATTTCTCCAAAAGCAGAGAGAAGAGGAGGAACAAGAAGTTGGAAAGAGCAAGATCCCTATTTAAAGGTAGCAGACTCTGCCTCTAAGACCCCACTTGATGGCTCACAAACTATAACTTTGGATGAGCCACCTAAACTTGCTGGACCTTCTGGATCTGAGTTCCCCTTTGTCATTCTCTCAAGCAGTAGCCTCTACAAGATGTGCTACATAATCTCCTGGGGATAGACAATATTATGGCTTCCTCTGTATTTGTTTTTTGTCTTCAAAACACTACGTTTTAATATGTTGAATATCCAGAGGATCATGAGCACCACAGGTAATCTTCTTGTGGCATGGTCATCTGGCAGGTACACTGGGGAAAGTATCTGAATTTAAACAAGGAAAGCCTGAGAAGTCAGAAAAAGGTTTCAGAAAGTATCAAGAATACCACTTGAACCATGAATTTATATTCATTACTGTTGATGAATGGCACCAAAAGTGTAGAGTGTACTTTCAGCTATTAGCTAATGATAGTACTTTACTATTTGTATGTGGGAATGGCAGGTTTTTTTCCAATAGGATTTTACAATCAAAAACCATTTGAGGTTGTAGGACCCGTGGATGACACCCAATAACACCACACCACTGTCATTCAGTTCAGAGAGACTTCTGCTGGAAATGGCACACGTCAGAAACAAAAACTGCAACAAAGTGACATCTTTAATGACATAGAACAATGAGGCAAATGCCACAGAAACGGGCAGCAGTGTCTCACAATGTGCTTGTTCCAGGCCAGAGGCCAAAGGCAAAGGAGAAGAGCTGTCAACAGCCACGTTTCTAGAGTTGGGGCCCCAGGGGAGAGATGCTGAACACATTCCTGGGCTGCTTATGGAATGTCCTTCCTGTTCTGGAGAAACAAATGGGCCTGTCCAAGACAAGGCTTGTGGGCCTTTGCTCATTGGTATGAAGAAAAAGAGATTGTTTCCCAATCACCCTTCCCGGAGACTTTCCTCTGCAAAGGGGGATTTGTTTTGCCTGTAGCTTTTCCCTACTGATCTCTTTGGCAGTAATGTGACACTAACTATCCTCATACCGGCTCCTGAGTTGCTTATTCCCACCCCAGAGTCTTTCCACTTCCCTCCATCACTAGGCCCTTCCACAAGGCACTCTTCCCTAGAGGACCACAATGGGAATCCTGCACCTGTTGTGAGAGTGACTGCAGTCACTGCAGAAGCCATTATTAGGGGGAAAGATCCCTAACCTCTGGTGTATTCCACCAGCCTCAGTGGATGGCCTTGGGCTTAGCAAAGAGTCATCACTGTCTGCTGGAGTTTGGACAGGAGCCCAGCAAATGCCTGGGAGCCTGGGAGAGCTCTGAGCTGCCTGTGCTTGGAGGTGCAGGTGGTAGTCTGCATCTTCCTTCCTCTGGCCCCCAGGCTCTGCATTACCCTGCCAGCAGACACCGTGTGCGGGCAGCAGGCTGGCAATCTTGGACTTGAGGATGTGGGAGCAGGTGGGAAAGACATGTGCCAAAGCCCTGAGGATGGAGACATGAGCTGGGCTACTGAGAATGGAGCCCCAGGGCCAGATGGATTAGGAGTGAATACCTGACAGTGCACAATTCCATCTAGAGCAGACTTAATTTGCAAACTCTCATTTCGCATGGCACGGCAGATAACTACCCAGAGCTGTTTTGCTCTGGAGAAGTCAGGACTTTTGAAAAGCCATCAGGTTTACCAGGGCAAAAGAGCCTCCAAAATGCAAGGGCTGAGTTAAGAGTCACAAAAGCAAACTTTGGATGACACAGGCTGCCTTGGTGGCCTTACCCTAACCATGTGATTTTGGAGGTAGAATCCTCCAAAGCTCTGGAGCCAGCATGGAGCCACCATGGGACTCAAGAGGGTGCTCCTTGTAAACCATGCTGGACTCCGAAATGCCCTTCTGGGACTCTCATTTTGTAGGTTCTAAATAAGAAGATGTCATGGCAAGATAGATTTCTTCATGTTTTTAGAATCAAATTCTTGGATGAAACCCTCCTTCCATAGGTTGCTTAAACAATCCATTCGGTATAACGCATGACCAAGGGAAAGTTTTAAAACACTGGGTAATAATCCAGAAATCAAAGTGGTAGACCCCAAAACAAAAGAGAAAGAGGAAGAAATGAGGGAGGGAGGGATGATAGAGAAAACAACAGAAAATATTGCAGGGCACTTCTTGTTTCTTTCTTTCTTTCTTTTTTTTTTTTTTTTTTTTGTACCAGGGATTAAACTCGAGTCCTTGCGCTTGCAAGGCAGGCCACCGAACCGCTGAGCTAGATCCCCAGCACACTTCTTGTTTCTTAATACATATTTATATGCATGAGTATACTAAGTCATGGTAAAAATTCATATTTTACTGAATCTAAAAAACACTGGGAAGACTTTTGTTTTACTTACTTTCCTTTTTTACAGTGTTTTCCATTCATTCACTCCATTTCCACCATCTAGAAAATAAAAAAGAACATGTTGTCCTAGGCCCTTTTTTGTCCTAAAAATAAATGAGTTAATCTTTGTGGGCTTAACTCAAAAAAAAAAAAAGTATCCAAAACAGGGGAAACAGTGTAAAAGGATATCTTGGTCCCTTCCTCCTTTATGACCCCACAACTCTGTCCCTTAGACTGTTCTTTGGGAGTTTGTTGAGTGACAGCCTTTCCTTCAGTCCTCCTAGACCCATAGGCATAAAATAGTTAAAGGTTTTTTTTTTTTTAATAAAATGGAGTACTACTCAGCAATAAAGAACGAGAAACTAGAGACATTTATAGCTAAGGGGATGCACACTGAGGCCATACTCTTAAGTGAAATTAATAAGACACACATGCATCAATACCAAATAGTTTCTCTGGTATGAAAAGCTAAAAATGTAAATAAGGATCAAAATGTGAACTGGTATTTTGTAATAGGAAGAAAATGTCTAAAAGAGTAGGGGAAGTAGGAGGGGCAGGGAAAGATAAGAAGGAAGAGAAAAGGAAAAACATGGAAACAATATCTCTGTAAACAGGGAAGGGTGGAGGGAGTGAAGGGAGGGCTGGGTAATGGGGAAAAAACAAGAACCAATTTATGTCAGGTAAAGGTGCAAGATCCCAATGATGAATGTAACTGTACTGTATGCCTAAAATGTACCAAATAGCCTTAAAAATAAATGAATAAAGGGGAAAAGGCCCTGTTTTGGCTTGTGTCTACATGTCCTTCCAAAGTCTTATGCAGTCATAGGTGGGGCTTTTTCAGAAGTAGCTGGGTCTAGAGTTTGAGATGCTGGAATTGCATCGTGGTGCAATGCTAGGATCAAGTACACTAGGATTAAGGGTGTGAGTGCTGCCCACCCTAAGTAGCCTGGATAAAATATAAAGGATAGAAAGAGCCATGGTCATCCCCTGCTTGCTCTTGCCTACCTGCTTGCTGTGGACTATTTCTCCTCTGTGATGCCTCTCAGCCATGCCACTCTGCCTTGGAGCCAGCCAACTATGAGCTGAAACCTCTACAAACTGTGTGCTAAATAAACCTTTCCTCTTTTAACTTTGGATGTCAGGTATTTTGTCTCAGGAGCAAGAAAAGTAACTAAGACAGGCCCTAAGAAAGGAAAGCAGTCAGATGGGAGTGGATCAGAGAGAGCTCAAAGGGCACACTTTTACCTGGAAAGCAGCCTCTGGGCAGCTTAAACCTACTCACGGGGACAGGGACTCTGAGAATCTCTAAGGGACAAGGTGACTCACTCAAACTCTGGCACCATGGTAAGGGGTTCAAAGTGTGTTGGCCAGCCTGGAGGAAAATGGTCAGGCTGCAGAAGACAGAGGTTCATGGGCTGCAATAGGCTGTAGCCTGTGGCCCACCTGCAGCCATACTTGCCCTGGCCACTTATAGGTACATAGAGCCAGAGAGGCCAAGACACTGGGCTCTGCTTTTTCCCCAATTCTGTGACATCAAGTGCACAGGCGTGGCCTAAAACTGGCACCTGAAATCTTTCCCTCCAGATAGGATGCACTTAGCACAACCCTTTGGTTTCGGTACCGATCACTGAGTCTATAGCATGAAGAAGTGTGTGTCTCTTCTGTTTGTTGTTTCGTTTAAGTTTCCCAGGGAGAAAATTTCCCCACTATCACCTTAATCGCCTACTTCAGTACTTTACTTCAGAACTTGACGTTTAATTTTCTTCTTTCCTGTTTAGCCTCAGTCCTTTCCCCAGGATCTAATAGTTAAGAGTTGGGAAAGGCTTGTTATCATACAAGTTGGCACAGCTGTCTCACAAAGTTCCCTGCACCAGCGGACTTGCTGGGCTTTAATACTCATCCTTCATGGAATAGCTGAATCATGCTAGCCAAGTCACTTCACCTCTCTATGCCTCAGTTTCCCACCTGTCGGCCTGGCCCCTTCAAGCCAGAGCATCCTCTTCTGTAAAATGTAAATGTGCAAACGCAGTATCTTCCCTGCCTGAAGGAGCTCACCAAACGCGGGATGACCTCGTGGGCATCTTTACTCTGGGATATTCTGCGCACTTCAGTTGCAATTCCCCCGCTGGACGGTGGAACTCAACGAAGGAAGGAACCCCAACTTTTCCCTCTCTCTTCTAGCATCTAGTGTGTACACAGGGAAACAAGAGTGGAAAGTCATTTTTAGCCAAATTTTTCTATGGCAAATTTTATGGAGCCATCCACAATTTCATGTTTCAGGACACACTTTTTAACTTTCTCCCCTTACCCCAATATCCGGGTAGGAAGGAGGAACTGGGGACCAGGAGCGCGGAAACAAAGACTGAGTCCACTCGATTGAGTCTCGAAGGGCTAGCGACAAAGCAGCTCCAGGCTCCACTTCGGCCCGCGTGCTCCTTTATCCTCCCTTGTGGGCACAGGCCGAGTTCCCCGTTTTCCACAGGCGCCCCGCAGCGCCACGGGCGGCCAGGCCCGGCCACAGCCCAGGTGGGGGTGACGCACCTGGCTGCGGCGTCCCCGGCAGGCTGGGTAGAACCACGGCTGCGGGGGTGGCGGGGAGGCGACGCCAATCATTACAGGCAGAAGCCTGGATCTGCACAGACGAAATCATCGAAAACTCTGCCCCACGGGGTGCAGAGGCATATCGTGCCCTACGGACGGCAGCAGTGGAAAAGTTTCACAAATCAGTCCCGAAGGAGACAGGGCAGTGGTTGGTTCCAAGTCAAGATGGTTGAGTCGCTGATGGAGCGCTCCGCGGGAGAGGACCGGACTGGTGGGCGTGGCTATGGGATGGGCGGGTCCTGGGCGGGGCTTGGGAGGGGCGGGGCCAGGTGCTGGGTTGTCTCTGCTTGTCAAAAGGCAGCAGCCCAGCGAGAGGCGCCGCGAGCTCCGAGCAGCGTGTCCACCCACCGGACCAGGTGAGGACCTGGGAGCAGTGGGCAGAGAGGTCCTAGGATAGGTATTAGGCCGGGGTAAGGGCGTCGGGGGTCTCGAGGTCTGCGTTCCCGGGTCCGAGTCCTGGAGTCTAAGTCAGAGCAAACTTGTTGGCTGAGATCCCGGCTGTTGTACCTTGAGGTTGGGACACTGAGGAGACACCGATGTCTGGGAGAACTGAAGTTTGCTCTAGGGTGGTGAGGAGGGATCAAGGCAGAAGGACTCCACTAGCACAGTGCTCAGCACTTGGGAGGCCAAAGAAGAATTTATTTCCTTCCTATGTCTGGCGCCTTGGCTTGGAGTGGAGGAGTAAGGAAGGAAGCAATTGGCTGTCGAGGGTGCCAAGGTCTTCTGGGAGCGGAGTGTGTGTAGCCTTGTTGATTGTCTTGTAGGAGCTCCATGTGGCCACCTATGATGGTGGACCACCAATGATTTGACACCTAATTGGCTCTAGTCACTAGATTGATTTTTTCAGGAGCGCTGGGCCATAGATGTCCAGAGGAATTCAGGGGCAAGCATGTAATTGAAGAGGGTACTTAGAGAATAGTTTCTATTTGGGTCCCGAGTCTGTGGGTGGTGGGTGAGGATTCAGAGGGAGTATTTAGGTGGGAATTGCATGTGGTCCCCAGGACCAGTGGACAGCTGCACCCCCTCCCATGGACCAGAGGCTGAGACCCAGTTGGTTTGCACTGGGGAAGCCTTGGATCTCTGAGTCTAGACCATTCTCTGTCCTTCTGCTCCTCCTCCTCCCCCCCCCCCCCTCCTCCTCCCCTTTCTCCTCTGTGCAGTGAGTGAGTCAGCCAGCCTCCTGTCTGGGCTCAGTTACAGCCAGAGGGGCCAGAGCTCAGGCAAGCAGTTGGGCAGGCATTTTCTGAGTACTGCAGAAGTTCTGGGCAGAGTTCAGCTGTGCTGAGGCTCCCTGCTGGAAGGTGTTCTTCCTCAGGGACAGGGGTAAGGGGCAGGGGTTCAGACAGCCCAGAGCAGTGGATGACTGGGATAATGCTATGGGTTGATTCCAGAAGGAGTTGACCGTAAAGGGATTGTGGCTTTGTGGTAAATCCACATCTCTTATCCTTCTGTAGGATTGGGAGATGCATCCCTTTTCCCATCCCTCATCCCCATTCTACCTAGTGGTCTTGTTAGCTGCCCTTCTCCACTAGTAAGGTAGGCATGGAGAACAAATTGGAAAGATTGTAGTGCCAGAAAATGAAACAAATGCTTTAACCCAGGCTGGGGATTTGGGGAGGTTTGCTGAGGTGGGATGGGTTGTCTGGAACATGAACTGGGAGTGTTGTACGTTGAGGGACCTTCACTCATTCCTTCCCCATTCAAATTCTGGAAAGAATCATAGATCTCTCTGATATTGTTTTAGGACTGGCATGCAGCCAGATCAGGAGGTAGTAAGAGTGAAAATTTCTCTCTCTGTTTTGTTTTGAGTTCTAGAGATCCTTGAATAGAAATGGGTGACCCAGAGCATGTGGCCTCTCTAGACTTATTTGAGAAGAATCCAGGGAGGCCACCCAGGCTATGGAGCTAACTCAAATTGCAAGAAATTGGGGAATTCATAATCTGTGCTCCGCCTGGGCCCTATGGCTGTGAGTTTGGCTGGTCCTTAGCAGCCATGACCTGGTGCCTTACCAAGAAGGAGGGGCTGGAAAATGAAGTAGGGAAGGAAGAAAGTTAGGAAGGCTTCCTGACCCCTCACTCCTCTTCAGTCAAGGCCATCAGATTTTGTACTGTTGAAGGTCTGGGTGCTATTCAAGGTGGCGTGGTTATTTGTGTTTATGGTTTCTCAGTCTCCTTCCTTCCCATGTTTGGCCTCCAGACTGATCACCTTTTGGGACAGAGTCTTGGAGGAAGCTTCCAAATCTCCAATAAATTTCCTGGTCCCCTAACTTCTTGACAGAACAGATAGCAGGTGTGAAAAGTCGACACCTTCAGTGGGGGAAGGCTTAAGGCCTGGTGGGCTAGACCAAGTGGTGACCCAAGACAGGAGGGGAAGTTCCACATCCTATGGGGGCAGGGACCGTGCTAGCCAAGGTCAACCTCTGGATCTCTGCTAAGCATCTGCTGCTACTGTGCAGTGGGGTAGGGGTGTGGGGTCTTGTGCCTGCATGGCCAGGAGTGCCTGCATGATAACTAGGTTTGCTGGTGGGTAGAGGTTTATAGAGCTACAACTTTTGTTTGTCACTACCTCAAGTCCATTTGGGATGCAAGTAGAGAGAAACAAAGAAATGACCAGATTGGTTCAGAGCCTCCTGTGTGGCCAGCATGGTGCCAGGCCCTCTGAAGGGATATCAGGAAGCAGATTCCAGAAAGCCAGGCCGCCTCTGCTCCAAAGAGGATGGAGCACCGGGAGGGGCAGCAGCCCCCAGGTATCCCTCTCTCCTTCTCTCCCTCTCTCTCCCACTGTCCAGCACTGAGAAGACCCAACTGGGCTGAAGTGGCCTCACTTCTAATTATTCTTTTCTCTGATTTCTCCCTAACCTTTTTCTGTGTCAATGCCCTGCTGGATGTGCTGCAGTGACTGTATGATATGTCATCCACACAGATTCTTCCGAGAGTAAACAGGGAGGCTCTGCATGGTTACACCAGGACAGTGGACACAAACCAAAACTTTCCAGGGCAAACTGGAACATCTCATCGCCATAGTGAATACCATTCCAAACCCAGCAGCACTCAGAAGACATGGCGATGCTCATGGTGGTGCAGTCGGGGGCTTCATGTGGAGGAGAAATGGGATAGCTTCATTCCGAGAGTAGTCCCACGACTCTGACCTGCTCCCGGAAACCATCAGCCAATTCCAGTCTTTTCCGTGGGGGTAGCACCTCTCCTGCCACCTTGTTCCTTCCCTTCACACTTCGCTTGTAACTGGCATCATCTTTGGTTTCCCTGCCCCACGCCACCTCAGACTAGGACAGAAAGCCCTGTCAGCTCTTCTTCATCTTCCTTGTGGGAACTGGGGGGATTCACAGTAGAGCCAGGACTCATACTCATGCTTCCCCTTCTGTCTTCTCTCCCATCCTCTTCATACTGTCCCTTTGGCTTCCCAGAGCTCTACACCAACCCATGGGAAAATCTGGCTCTAAAGTGGGTTAACACCAGAAGGGGAAAGGTAGTCAAACTTTGCCCATGTAGATAAAAAGCACTGGTCACTTGTAATCAAGATCTAGGCATGGTGGCGCATGCCTGTGATCCTAGCACTAAGGAGGCCGAGGCAGGAGGATTGCCATGAGTTTGAGGCCAGCCGGGGCTACATCGTGAGTTCAAGGACAACCTGAACTGCATAGTGAGACTTTGTTTCAAAAAACAAAACAAAGAAAAAAGGTCCAGGAAAATGCCAACCAAAGTGGAGACCAGAGCTAGAGAAAAGCTGCTTAGCAAGACATGGAGTCTGTCCTTGGGGACACTAGCCTTTGACTCTCCAGTGTGGTCTGGCTGTTAGGGAAATGGTCTGGGGTGGGGACAGACAGTTCTTGCTCAACCCAAGCTATAAGCGTTGGTGGCAGCAAAGCATCCTGTGGTGGTGACATGTGGAAGAGAAACTGCCCCCGCCTTGTGCTCCCCAGTTCTAGGATCTTGTGGTCCATCAGGTGCTCAGGCAAGGCTCCTTGGAGAGTCCCTGAGGTCCAATGTGATTAAGGCATGGGGCTCTGGGGGAGTAGAGCCTCCTTTATGACGTTGTAGTGATTCCTCTACTCTGGCAGGAAGGAAGTTGTTCTCATCAAGACAAATAAAAGAGCAAGTGAAGGCCTCTTGGGAAATCCCAACTTTCAAGCAACTTGTGGGGATGTGAGGTGGCAAGATTCCCTGGGCTGGCTGGAGGCAGGTAGGAGTGGCTGGTGGGTAAATGGCAGGAGGGAGAGGCAGAAGCAGTAGGTGCTCTAGGAGTCTGAGTGTGTGTCATGCATTTACAAACCTGCCCTGCAGGTCCCGTGCCAAGGAATAGACTAAGCAGTGTTCCCAGAACCAGATGCCACACAAAGTCTTCATTCTGCACAGGGGAGAGTCCTGGTCCCTCACAGGGTGTGGGTAGCTACACCAGCGGGAAAGTGGAGTTTAGGCAGGGCCAGGCAGCTGGTTCCTGGGAAGCTGCTGCCTCTCACTGGCCTTCGCATGACAAGCTGAAGCTTTGAGATGTTTTGCAAAGTGTGATATTTCAGGCACTGGAGCACCCAGGAGGCTCTGGCTTTGCTGGTGACACATCCAGTGTGTGCCACCTGCTGGCACTAGTATTATAGGTCCAGGAACAGTGGCTCACTGATCACTTACTTGGTACTGGGTGCCATGTTACAAGCACTGCCTCCTGGGCCTGTCACTACCTCGTGAGACAGGAACCACTGCTCTGTTCCCTCTATCAATGTGGAAACTGAGTTTCAGTGAGGTTAAGCCACATGCCAAGGTGACACACTGAGGAAGAGTCAGGACTTGCAGCTAGGTGTGCAGGATGCTGCAGTCCGTGATCTCTCTTTCTCTCTCTATCTGTTTCTTGGTTTTTTGTTTGTTTGTTTGTTTGTTTCTGTTTTTATTTTCCTAGCACTGAGGATTGAACCCAAGGAGCACTGAGTTAAATCCCCAGTTATTTATTTTTAATTTTTTTTAGATAGGGTCTCCCTAAGATGCCCAGGGTAGCCTTGAACTTGCAATCCTCTTGCTTCAGCCTCCCAAGCAAAGCCGTGCTCTTCAGTCTCCTCAGAACCCTACTCCCTTTGCACTCACAAGGCAGCCACAGGGCACTTGGTACAATGTCTTGCTGTTATAGGACTGCAATAAATATTTGCCAGCAGCAAGGTGAGTGTTACTAACTAGTTTGAACAGGCTGACCTGAAAGCAATCCTGGTTTGCTCAAAGGTTACTCCGGTGACTGTGGCATCTCCAAAGGCTTCTTCCACCAGCACCTTTCAATCTCGGTGCCTCTCTGGCGGCCTCAAGAATACTACTCAGGTTCAAAATGGCAAAAATATATAAATTTTAAAATTCAAGAGGCATAATATTGTGCAGAGAGATTATGGGGAATCAAGTAAGATTTGAAAGATCTGGAAGGCAAATAAACACTCTGCATTTCAAAAACTTAATTGATAACATACTGTGTGCTGAGTGTAATGAGGTAAAAAAAAAAATAGATCATGTGTCATTGGCCAACCAGGAGCTATTCTCACCCTGCCTACCTTTCCTCCCTCCTGGATGCTGTCCCTTAAAGGCTGCTGGACCTAGCCCACTGGGAAAGAGAAATGGATGCTGGCCTCCTCTGACAAACCCCTGCTCATCTCCTGTCCCTGTTAGTCTGCACAGCTTCTCCTGGAGGTAAGTGTTACAATTGTCTCCAGTGTGTAGAAGGGGGAAATTTGGGGTAGAATTGTTAGAAGCTGTGCTAGCAGCCTGGAAGAACAGGAGAAACAGAGTTTAAGTTAGACATTGAGGTTCAAATTATGACTTCATTGCTTTCTAGCCAGTGACCTTGGGCAAGGTTCTTAATCTCTGCCAATCATCTCAGTTTCCTTATCTGTGAATGGGGGCTAATAATAGCGCCCTTGTTGAATTGTGTGAGGATGAAGGCAGCAAGTCAAGTGTGTGGTGTGGTGGGCCCCTGAAAGGCACATGCAGACAGACACCCATCCAGCAGATGTGGGCTGAGAACTGACTTTGCACCATGCTTTGCTCAAGACATCTGAAATTTAACAGTAGGGGGAGAAAAGACTTTTGCAATTATTTTCACATTGATTCACTGAGAAACCTGATTGTTAGAGGCACCATGAGGACCCCAGAATGGCTGTCCTGGCACCTGACTAAGTTCAGATTTGGGAAATTGGTTTCTCTTTTTTCCATTTGTTAGACAATGCACTTGGGAACCTTCCTGAACTTCTCGGGGACTCCTGGTCTTCAAGGTTTTTTTGTCTGATACTTTTAAAAACTGAAATAAATATTTCATGCACACAAGAGTATATAATACACTAATGAAGCAATTAAAGAACAATATATAACTGTACTCATCACTTATGTTAGGAATAGAGTATTTACAGCATTTTTAAAGCCCCTTGGGCTGGGGATGTAGCTCAGTGGCACCACACCTGCCTGGCAAGCACAAGATCCTGAGTTTGCTCCCCAGTACTGCAAAAAAAAAAGCCCCTTTGCTCCTCCCCATTTATATGCCCCCTCCACTCCCCACCTCCAAGTGAATTCTGGTTAATTATTTCCTTGCCTTTCTTTGTAAATTATCATTTATGTGTGTTTTACAAAACAGCATATTGTTTCGTTCTTCCTGGCTTTGAAGTCGACATACTTGTATTCTCTGCAAGCACTCCCGTCAGTACCATGTTCTGTGATTTATTCATATTGATGAATATCTGCAGTCTATTAGTTTGCACAGCTGTGTAGTATTCCAGTGTAGAAATATCCAAGTGTGCATATTTTCCCCCCTTCTTGATGAACATTGGGTTTGTTTCCAGTTTGGGGCTACTGTGTTGTGACAATGCTGCTAAAGACACGATATGCTTGTCTCCTGAGGTACATGGTAGTCTCTCTCCGGCACACGCCTGGGAGTGGAATTGCTGGCTCAAGTGGAGTCCTACATTTGGCGTTCCCATACAGTGCCAAAGTGTTTTCCACAGTGGTTATACCACAGAGCACTAGTTTCAGCAGTGGATGAATTGTGCCCATAGTTCCCCATCCTGTCCAACTTGATAGAGACTCCATTTCTAAATTGGAAAGGTATTAGTCACAGTTCTACCACTTTTCCTAACTGAGATGGTATTGCCCATGACCAAGGACCTGGTTTCTGGCTGCTATGTGCGCCTGTCTGACACCTGTTGTGCATAGGTGACCTGTGCATGCAACAGCCTGGCTCTGAGACTCCTGTGTTGGATCCCAGTGCAGCTGGAGCCCTTTCTGCCTGAGCTTCTCCTAGCAGTGGCTGAGGGATCTCGTGGCTCTACATCCTCCCCACGGCTTTGTGGTCTCTTCGATTCAACCAAGAGTCTATTGTCAGCCCTGAGGGGCCATACCAGCTGTTAAGTTAACCGAGTTACATTTCTGTCCAGTGGGTTGGGAGAGATATTTGTTTCCCTTGATGATTAATTCTGAGAAAATAACATAAAGTATCAGAACCATGAGTGTGCTAGCTAATCAAAGCAGATGGGGTTGGGACTATGATGAGATTCTCAGCTCTGCAGGGATTCTTGATCATTTAAAGGTGGATTGAAGTCTAGTAGTCCCCACTGTCCCTTGTTCTTTGGCTTTTAGACTTGTCCCTACTGAGAACCAAGGAGCAGGTAGAGGGCTGAGGTGAGGGGACATAGGAGGAGCCACACAGAATGGCTGCAGAGAATCCCTTTTCATGCCAAGTTTGAATGCCCTCCCTAGGAGTGCTGGGGAAAAGAGGTGTTAGATGTATCCAGAATCCTGGTAGTCACATAAACAGCCAGCTGCCCACCCACTCAGCCACCCACAGGTCAAAAGAATGTGGCTGGCCAGCCAGTTGCATGGGCCACCCCAGTTCTGTAATTACCCAGCCAGTCTGTGCCTGTCAGCTCCAGAGGCAGGCGAGTGCCTCTGCCTTGTGCCTTCCTTTGGGTATCAGGCCTGTGCAGGGCCCTGCCTATTCTTCTGACTTCACTATCACCCCCAACTCCACCCCCACGTCTGTCTCTATAACAACCTTTGACAACCTTTGGCCCTTATGAAGTTGCCTTATTATATAATAGCTGAAAATTATATTTGCCAGTGGCTGTTATAACATACTACGTTCCAGTGCTGTGTTAAATGTTTTCCATGCATTTTCTCGTTTATACCTCTCAATAATTCTGTGAGGTAGGTAATCTCATCCCCGTTTTAGGAAGAGGAAACCAAAGTTCAGAGAAATTAAGAAGTGCCCTAAATCATTGAGGTTCTGAGACAGGCCCAGAACTTCAATTCAGATCTTTTTCAGTCTGGTGTGGATGCCCCCTTCTTCTCTTGTCCACTGCCTTTCCCTACAGGGCCACGATTCTCCAGCTTTGTTTCCCCACCCCTGCTGTCTCAGGAGGGCTGGAGAAGAAGCAGCAGATAGTGTCCACCCAGGGTGAACCGGGAAGTTCCAAACTGGCTGGGCAGATTCTGGAAAACACCTTCAGGGCAGAGTTCTTTGTTCCAAACTGCTCTGAGTTTCCGGACTTCTGCCAGGGGTGGGAAGTTGCCTCTGCCCAGCCTATTTGGCAAGCACACTCACATCTTGGGTGCCATGATGTTAAGAGGATAGGCTGCCCCAGGTAAAATTCCATTATAATGAACTGCGTTTGTGATCTGATCAGCTTTGTTAAAATCCAGTGCGCAGCCTGAGAAACTGGAGGTGAAGTGGAGCCCAGTCACTGTAGGAAATCTCAGTGAAGCCCCTGAAAGTTTGGAGGCTAGAAGTAGGAGAAAACAGTCAGACCCACCCAGGTCTTCTCTGATTGCCAAGAGCCTGAATAGTCAGACCCTGGCAGGGCTGAGTGGGGAGAGCACGGTGCTTAGCTCTACCTGGCAGTGTTGTGATCATCCCCACTCTACGGGGGCCCTCAGAACAGATCCAACATCATCACTGAAACAGCACTGCTCGACACCCAAAACATCAGATTCATTCAAAAGGTGTTTATGGGATGTTTTTATATAGGCTGGGTCCCCTGAACTAAAACAGCTGAAGGACAGTTGCTCTGTGTGGGTAAAGCATCTTAAAGAGCTGGGCTACAGCTCAGATGGATTCTTGCCACGATTGATTCTAGCAAGGTACACGATAGGAAGCATTAGCATTTACTGCACAGGTGCTATGTGCTGGGCACAGTGCTAAGCACTTAACATGCAGGATCTCATTGAATCCTCACTTACCAAGAAAGTAGGAATTATGATTTTTCTCTTTTTACAGGCGAGGAAACAGAAGCTTAGAGAACGAATGTAATAGGGAGTGGACCCAGCCAGGCAGGCTGCCTCCAGAGCCTGTCCTTCTAGCTGTTTCTCCCTGACCACCGAGCCCTGTGGCTGTGTCTGCGTGGGGTTGGGGCTGGGGCAGGGGCTGGGGTCAAGGTAGTGAGTAAGGCTGCAGGGGTGCAAACCCTGGCATGATGGCTGGAGGGCACAAGCCTGATCTAGCAAAGTGGCCCTCCTTGAGCCAGCAGGATTGTCCCTAGCACTGCAACCTTATGTGACCACATGATCCACTTTCTTTGTAGGAAAAGTGAAATCTCTCAATTTTCAAAACATTGATAATGAACTTTACAAATCTGTAATCACTGTTGGTGATGGGGAGGAGCAATCATTACACATCTAAGGCAGGTTTAGCCTACCAGCTTCCAGGGTCCTCTGCTGGTTTCTTTTAGCAGGTGACTGTGGTGTAGAGTAGAAATCCCCTGTAAGAATTCCTTACTAGAGAAATGAGTGATTGCTCTCCATGCATGTTGCCTAGCTTTGTAATCAGAGTGTTTCTCTCTGGTAAGTTATCACGAAACCTTTTAGAATCATGATACCCTAAAGATGAATTACCCCTTTGAGTTCTTTTTCCTATACTCAGTCTTCCAGGTCAGGGCTTTCCTCATAGATATTAGAAAGGAAATTCATGTGGAGGAAAAAATAGGAAACCAACAGCTAAGAAAAGAATCTCCAGGCAACACGAAACAAGCAAAGGTAACCAACCAGTGGAGGGTTTCAGAAGGGGCTTGGTGCTTGACAGGCAGCTCGAAAGCCCTCTGTGTTGCATTTTGTGTGGTGTTAGGGACTGAACCCAGGGCCATTCAGGTGTGGGGCAAGTGCTCTGCCATTGAGCCCCGGCCCCAACTCCTGGGCTATATTCTCGGCTCTCCAAAGCTGCAAGGACCTCATGCTGGCAAAGCCACAGTCACGCTTTTGAGACCCTTCCCAGGTATCTTTTCACAGCTTCCACTTTATACCTAAACTTATACCCCCTGCTACTCTTGAATATCTGGGAAAATAGTAACATAATAACTAATGTTTTAAGGCGTAACCTTTTTTATAATGCATTTTAAATATTTTATCTCAGCAGATACAACAGTCTTGTGAGGTAGGCAATGGTTAGAATATCCTTTTTATGAGACTTGCTTAGGTAGCAGTGATGTCTTCCTCTTCCATTTTCTTCTGTTCTATGACAGCGGGAGCCAAAGAGCTTTCCCTAACCTGTGCCCACCTTGAGTCCATAGCTGGGAGTAGGTGGGGTAGACAGTGACTTTGAGAACCTTTGATAAGGGTCCTCACTTCTCCGAAAATCCCAGCTCCAGGATGAGCAGGGAGAAGGACCCTAAGCAGATGCTGCCTGAGGCCAGCCTCCTCCCTCAGCTCACCCC